TTCTCCATCATGTACAGATTTTTCACAAAACATCATAATGCAATACATAAAAGAAAGACCACAACACATAAGTTTGAGACAACAAGACATAAATTTCACAAAAAATTCAGGATGAATGAGGATGCATATTTGTTTGACATCAATGTTCTTTCCTTTTCTTCAATTTGTTTGTATTTTTGTTAATAAACATAATGATAAAAAATTTTCATTGTGGTAAATGAAATAATAATTTGAGCTATGTAAGTTTTTCTTCCTGATTTGTAAAAATTCCTTACATGATAGAGAAAAATGAATATTATTTTTGAAATCTGCATAGCAGAATTATGAAAAATCCATTATTATGAAGTTTAAATTCGCAGTCCTGTGTTATAAATTGCATTTACCATTTGATTATTCTTTGCTCTGCTGACTTGAAGTTTTTTTGACATGTGTATGTTGAGAAAGACTTATTGTAGCTTATATGTAGTATAATATCAACCAAATTCACAGCCATCATATTTATAGAACCAGGACTTCAAAAACAAGTTGATAGACAAAAACAGTTTTCAAACATCAGAACTGCATCTTGAGCCTTCCAAACTGTGCAGAATAGCTTATTTATAATTATCAAAGATTCTATACCTAAATAAAAGGTCAAGTGAGAATGTTTATGGTTTACCTTGTGCTGGGTGTACAAAACTATGATTAAAATATACAGACTTTATATTAAAATTCTCATCAAAAATATTCAGGTCTTGCACTTAATATTTTAACTGATTATTAATATAGTGGCACTATAAATAAACATATAAATACATTTTTCTATTTGTTTTGTGAATCTTATAAAATTGTTTCATGAGAATATAACATTAATCTTAGTTCATACTAAATATTGCATTCTTTTATGACAGTGTAAGTGCTGTACAGTTATTGTCAAAATGACATTTTTTATAAATATTGTGTTTCTTAAGCTGTTTGTTTTTATCAGTGTGTTCAGTTTTTAAATTAATTTTGTTAGCTGGACTCTGAAGGTTTTATTGTATAAGAAGATGAGTTGATTTTCTACCCTAAGAAAAAGATCATTAGTTTACCCAACATACCATTGCATATTAATAATACTTTATCATAACAAGTTATGTAGCATTTTCCTGCCTTCTACAATCTATTCTATTGTTCCTGCAATTCATGTTCACCCATTGTACTGAAGTGTTTAGAAGTGTTTTAGAACAAGATATTAGTGAGCTGGTGAATCTTGTTCAGCTTGATTTAATTAAATGATTTTAAACTTTATTATTTGACTTTAGCATATGTCTGAAGCTCAATCAAATTGTTTCAACACTAACAGTTATATGTATTTGTTTTAAGTCTGTTAGTTGTACTATTGAGTATATCATGACATGTGCCTGTATGGTGGGTATACTGCTGCTATTGTTTTATGATTTGTGCATATTGTTGTTATGTTATTGTCAAAATTTAGTCTTGTTCTGGGGACTCTTCTTCAATAACTTGATAACATTTCTGGAACGGTATCCATAGGCTTATAATAAACAAGAGTTAAATGTGTAGATATCCTACTTAGTATCTGAGTAATATTTATACACATGATAAATTTTATTACTGCATATGATAATATACAAGTATCTGACATCTATCTAACTCTACTTTTATGTATTTAGTGCCAGTTTGTCCATCCAAATGGGTAATGTCATTCGTTCATGACGCCTGCTTCTTCATTGATGAGTGGAGAAAAGCAACTTGGGATGAGGCACAACAAAACTGTAAAGGAGGACATTTACTGACTTTGGCAGATTTGTTAAAATACAAGCTTATCCTGAAATATCTTAAAGAAAAGTATTTTTCGAAAAGAAAAAGTAAGTATATTTAACAATGTTACGTACATACACTAAATGGTTATTTAGAGTGGTTCTAAATGTGGTTGGTATATGAAGGAAGTAAAATAATGAAAAATTCAATTTATGTGTTAGTAATCTGGTATAAGTAAACTTGGTACTCCATCTTTTTATTACATCAGTTATATCAAAATATTATTACTAAGAAGAGACTGCGTGGTATTCTTTGTTTAGAATAATAATGGCACACTGATTAGTTATTCCTGTTTTGTATATTAGCATACCATGCATGTTTGCTTTCTTGTATTAATAAAGAATTGAAAATGTTTTAGTTATTTCTGGATCTGTGCAGTTTTTACATTACATGTGGTCAAGACGGTTGTTATGTTGATTTTGTTCTAACCGCCTTTCTTCTTTTGTCATTCTACTGAGGTAACACCTGTTCTGCCCATGGTGAGTAAGGCTGTAATGTTGCAAGTTCTGGAAGAATGTAGACAGCAGTGTTCTTCAGTGGTAGATCAGGTGGTATCTCAAGGTTACAGCTTCATATATGGTTGAATTAGACTGACCAGTTATGTGAATAGTGCTAGTTACCCTGAGTAAATCCAACATTGCCTGTTAAGGAGCTTTGAATTTAAACAGTCTAGTAAATGAGTGCAAATATAGTTAAAACTGCATAGGTGACGAAAATATCAAAATTAAATAATAGCTTGAATAATCGCCAAGTTTTAAAGAAGGATGACGTTTTGAGCTAGCACTCTTCGTCAAAATGTACAGTTTACAACAAAGGCGCATGTGCAGTATTCAAAGAACTTGCATGCGTAATATTTGGAATGTTGAGCGTGAAAATTCTAAGCAAAATTACATCTATTACATAAAATTTACAAGTCATGAAAAGATAAGTAGATAGCAATTAAAATTTAAACAAAAAATGGAAAAATAGAAATCTACAGGAATGAAAAGCATTAATTTAAACCAGATGGTTGTAAGGTCCCCAGATTGTAGATTAATATCCTTTCCAGTCGTTCTTTTTTGTTAATGTCTGTTGGAGCACTAATAAGTTCAAGGATCGAAAAGTCCTCAGCAGGTATTTGCCTGCTAGAGTACAAAAGCAGGAGATACTGGTCAGAACAAAGATTATTTTCACAGTTTTAAAGAGCAGTAGTGTTGTTTTAATAAGAGGCTAATCATGTTCATTACAAGTGTTATATCTGTCAAAGTATGCAAACATTAACATACAAAAGTAAATGCCACAGCACTGGATGGTGATATGTTTTTATATTGTGAACTGTTTGATTGTATGATTGAAGTTGAAGAAGCTATTTTCTGTTAGGTCTTATAAACGGGAAGATGAAAAAAATAGTTCTGTTACATATTTCCACTAGAAGTTACAACAGATTTCAGCAACACAGCTAAACTATTAGCTTTGTATTCTAGAAAAGTAGAACAAGAAAGAAAGTGGAATTTAACTGATTGTAAATTAAATAAACAGGATATTTATGGGAGACAAACTAATAGATAATGTAAGTGAATTTAAACAGTGGAAAGATTAACAGTAAAATAATTTGTGAAAGAAAATATATAATACCTGTGAGTGCATGAAAACATTGAAAAATATTCAAGTAAGTAAGTTCTCTGAAAATTAATTTAAAAACTACTGTCAGGTTTTGTAATGCCAAATTCTTTATAGTAGGTGTGTGACTTGTTGGCAATAAATTTCAACTATAAACAAACAGCAACACAGTCCACTTGTTTTAAAATAATATATTAAAAACAAATCAAATGTATATACAAATGTTCATTACACTGTTGGTTTTCACAGTTGTATCCAGAACTTTAAATAATCCTTTCTTTCATCAAAATTCACATAGGCTGATTCATTCATTTTAGAACACAATTGACAAGATGAGTTAATATTCTGTATTCTTGTTATTACAATACAGTCTGTGATAATTTCACTTTAAAAATCACCAATATACACTCTTTATCACTAAACTCATGATTGCACAGTCTAAAACTAAAACTCAATAATGATTTCTCACTGTGTATTTATTCCCTGACAGAAGTCTAGAACATTCCTTGCAGTACTAGATATTCTGATGTAATAATACTCAAACCAACAAGAAACTCAAAGTTATAGCAACATGATGCAATAATCTCACTATTGTAAACAATTGCTAATTCATAACAATTGACTACCTAATGTATGACTTGTAAACGGTTTTGGAAACAAACTTACCGTAAAATATTGCTTCTAAAAATAACTGAATAAGACATCTGCACTATATAAACCATCTGAATCATAACATTCGTGTTAAACTGAAACAGTCATGTATATCTAACAACTACAAGATATCAGACATGTAATATTACAAGAAAGTTGAAATATATATAAAAAGTTTGGTTAAGGCATATGGTTAGCTAATGATTCACATTTCATTAGTATGAGTTACGAACTGTATTGTCTGGTATTATTATTGGTAAGCAAATGGTAGGAAAGGTTATGTGAAGTGCACCACTATGTCAAGGTTGATCATAAAAGTAAAACATGGCAAAGGCTAATCATGTTTTATTGCAAATGTTATAGGCAAACATATACATACATAAGTAAATGCCACAGAGATGGATGGTATATGTTTTTATATTGTGAACTGTTTGATTGTATGATTGAAGTTGAAGAAGCTATTTTCTATTAGACATTGTTAAAAACAAGATTGATGAAGGTGTTTATATTGTAATGTAAATACATTACATGCCAATTTTATGTACTTATAGAAAATGAAACATTTCAAAATTAAACATGTATTGTTTGCATATATTGACTACAAAACTACAGACCTTAAAATATTTTTTAAAATATATTCATTTTATATCTCTGTTTGGTTGTTGGTTATAATTAAGCTGTTATAAAGAGGAAATAAAATAAATGACATACACATCATTAATGTTTAATTGTTAGGTTATATACAGTATTTTTCGGAATATAAGACGCCCCGGTGTATAAGACGCACTCTTATTTTGAAGACAAAGTTTTTGGGGGAAAAAAAGCTACAGTCACATTTGAAAGATTTTTATTGAACAAAAATATTGTTCTATACACAAAAGAGCTCAAAACATCAAAATAAGAAAATACCGTAAATAAAAAAAAGGTTTACTGTTATTTAGTTTGGTTCAAAACCTACAAAATCTTCATTGCTTTCACTATGATTTATTTTTTATTATTTAGGGAGCATTATAAATAGTTATGTTTTTAAAAGAAAGAAAAAAACTACTATTGTTATAAATAACACATTCAATTGAACTAAACTATGCATGCCTATTTAAATATATTTACACATGGCTTGTGTATATCAAATATATTATTCATACCTTCGGTGTATAGGATGCAAGCAGATTTTGACATCAAATTTTGGGGTAAAAAAGTGTGTCTTATACACTGAAAAATAAGGTGCTTGTTTTAGATGAGCTACAGCTATATAGAATACTAGTTTTCCAGAATATATATTTGATACATTAATATACTTGTTCTGATACTTGTTAAGAATATTTGAGAAACTACACAAAATACTACAGTTAAAATTTACAATTTAAAGTTTAGGAAAATTGAAACTTAATTTTATGATGTTTTTTTTTAGTTTCCAAAGAGTTCTGGATGGGCCTGATGTGGAGGGACAAGACTTATAAATGGGAGGATGAAAAAAATAATTCTGTTACATATGTTCACTGGAAATCTACAACAGATTTCAGCAAGACAGCTGGAGTATTAGCTTTGAATTTTGGAAAAGTAAAATCTGAAGGAAATTGGGATTTAGCTGACCCTAAATTGACTAAACTGTATATTTGTGAAAGACAAGCTAAAAGACAAAGTAAGTAAATAGAGACAGTGAAAAGGTTAACAGTAAAATATATTGTGAAAGAGAATATTCATAATACCTGTGAATGCATGAACATATTGAAAGAAAAAAAATTTAGTTAAGTTCTCCGAAAATTAGTTTGAAAATTGCAAGATATCAGACATGTAACATTACCAATATTTGTAGTTGCAAAAAGAATCAAACAAAGCTACAGGAAAGTTGAAATGTATATATAAAAAAGTATTTTAAGGTACAGGGCTAGCTAATGATTAAACATTTCATTAGTTGGCTTATGAGCTTTATTGTCTAGTAATATATTGGTAGTCAATTGTTTTCAAGAGTGAGCTAGTTTCCTGGTTATTGAAGTAATTCAAGATTTTGATAGTGTTGTGTACCAGCAGTAAACTGTTAATTCATGTATTAGAACTATTTACTCATGTTTTGATAATGGTTATCTATTATTATACAGGTAGTTTGTTTGTTTTTGAATTTCGCGCAAAGCTACACGAGGGCTATCTGCGCTA